TTACATCGCCTCCCAAGAAGCATGCCAATGTCCTAAAAATTTGTATCATCACACTCGCCGACAGGGAGGATGGAGAGGATAGAAAAATATTGAAAGTATTGTGCCTCCAAGCAGTATACATGAAGCCAAATTCTGCCTGCAGGTCTTCAATCGTCGGTACCGACAATCTATTTGAAAAGGCCACTTCCAGCATTAACGGTTCCGAGGGCAGACACAAGGCCAGGAAGCGGCGCGCGATCCCCCGTCTCTATTTGAGGAACTCTTCTTATCCTGCTCATCCGCAACCTGCAACATAACCCTAACATACAACATGGGTTTAACCTTACGCCCCTCTTACCTGCACACACGTAAACTTACTCATACCAGGCTTCTCCAGGAAAAAGAAATCTGGCGGTTTGGGTGTATCCCCAGACGGCCCGATTGCGGGATCCCCTTGTTTCCGAATCCCGTGGAGACTAGCTGACCCTATAAATACGTATTAATTTTTGAGCCCCGCGGAGTCCGCCGGTTTGCCTCTATCACCCTCCCAGACACTACCGCCCCCCCTTAGGACCCTAGAGACAGACCGGTCAGGCGTTTTTGTTCCTTGAGTTTGGTAGAGTCCTGGGCTTTTGCTTATGCGAGCACTTATGATACCAGGTTGACCATCATGGGGAAAGGGCAGAGTGAGGAAAGAATGAGACTAAAGGCTGGGACCATACCATCCAAACCATTTCCCAACCACTCTCTTGCAAAGAATATAAGACTGCCTTTCATATGCTAATTTTCAAGCGCCAAAGGTGCAATGGTAGATCTTACTGAGCCTTTCATCCGTCCAGGGAGTGGGTGTGCAAGGGTCGATTGGGTAAGCCAATGAAAATAAAATGTAGCTTGTCCAGCGGTTTCGTTTGCGCTTAGACTATGCGGGGTCTATTCGAGTGTCTACATATCCATAGCGGACATTGATGGAGGTGATATCTAGGAATTTCGATATCAAATGAAGAGGCGAGAAGCAAAAACTGAAGGGGAATGCGGAGAATCATTGATTTCATAATCCGCGACCACATAGATATATTTTGAAGGAAAATATAGAACGCCGAATTGTGTGCTCTCGGTGGCGGCAAAGGCACTGATAATGATGATATATTTTGGGCCCAGATGAGGATGAGGAAATGGTTTAGTCTAGGTGGGCGAGAAGAGAGAGAAAGAGATAAAAAAGCAGTAAGCAGACGTCTCCGCAACCCCCCGAACTTTGTTAGAATTTTGTCCACTAGAAACTATGACAATATGTAGCTCCAACCCACCCCGTGGTATCAATTTATTACGATACACTATCATATCCCAATGTATATTTTTAAAACTACTTCCTTCTTAAGTCGCTTCTAGCGCCGCGTCGCTAGTGGGGAGATCGGTTATTTGGGGATTCCATAATATCCCCTCTCTTCCCTCTCCTCTACCCCTAGCCATTCTCCCACCTCAGCCCTACAAAGCTCTCTGCAGAGTTCGACAGCACAAGAATACTAGCGTTTTCCCGAACTACAGCACCGAGTTTCCTATTGCTTCCGGCCCGATGCGTAATATTGAGTCATGAGGAGTGGGAATTGTTGGCGAAATCCGATTAATTGAAGAGCACGTGATGAGAGCTGGGCATTATTCTCCGTTGCCTCATAGCTCTTTGCGTGGTCTTATTGCGTCACTACTAATCACTCGCATCATTTTGCCCCTCAGGCTTCTGTATTTATCAGCTCAGCCAAAGAAGAGGGCTTTCTACTCGGGACGCCCGACATGGCTATCGAGCACAATACCGCGTGCGTCGAAATTAACAACCCCAAATAACTGTGAGTAATAACCAACTACAAAAAAAATTACTGTTTTTGTCACTCACATTTCAACAACTGGCTGATGCACAACATGCCCCTAAGGAAGTAACTGGGAACAAACCAAGGGAAATAGCAGAAATGGAAAGTATTGAAATACCACAGATGGCCAGCTTCCATAATTAGATAAAGCATGCCAAAAGTCATAGAGTTGGAAGAAATGGTATCATAGGAAACAAATTCCGTCCCCCGAAGGGTCCCAACTCTTAACTCGGTATGATATCGTACATGCAACAAAAAAAAAAAAAACTCAAAACGCCCGAAAGGACCACGTTGAATGGCACGGGCCGGTCTGAAAAGGGAAGCACGTTAGGAAAGGTTTACTCGTGTGTAGGAAAATCTGATAATTTAGGCCTTCGCACTAATAAAAGCCCATGGGGGGTCGTAGGGATATAAGGCCACCCGCACCGAATCAAATAGGCTCGCACTATCCTTGGAAAGAAGGAAAGGAAAGGAAAGAAAAAAAGGAAAGAAGGAAATTAACGTCGTCGCAGTAGGAAAACAGCACGGCCCTCCGGATGATTTCCGCTCCTTCGGTCGTTCGCTTCTATCAGTGTTCGTATCCCCCTTCTCGTGTATGTCTACGATAACAAAGGTTTTGAAAATCCCAAGTCAGTCCAGCCAAAGTTCTCAGCAGCCGCCCAAGCCCGGCGGTCCCCAAGCAACCACCGGGTCGAAGCTTGGGGCAGCCCAAGTCAAAGTCGCCAGCGGCCTAAGAAATTGGGAGATATCTATGAACAGTCTACGATCTTTCCACTTTTGATTACTGTGAACAGAATAAGATCAACCTGCTCCTTGTGGTGCGGACTCTGTTTAAGGCAAATATGTGTCATCTCCCGATCCAACCGCCACGACACCAACATCTTCTCAACCCATAAATTGTCCTACCTCACGTCACTCTATACCATTCTCCACGCAACTCTCTAACCACCGTGGCTGAATATAGATTGACCGAACGGTTTTGTTATGGCAAATCCTGTTTTAATAATAAAATATTTCTTAGAAGTGAGACGCAAGCGATCGCTTGAACCCTTGGTCTGCAAGTAACCCAGACGGGGCCCGGTTTTGGCCTTGAAAAACCGCTTTCCCACAGTCCGGCTGTTTGGGTTCGCTGCAGAGATCAACTACCGTATTTTGAAGGAAGGAACCTTTTGACAACACTGGTTACAAAGAGGCCATCAGTAATTCGCTACTATACAAAGTCCCGGCGATGGCCCCGACAAAGAAACCTTTGGATGGATATCTTCGCTTCACCCCCTTTATTTTTACTGGGTCAAACAAAATCCCCATCCGACAAGATATTTTCGGCTTGTCTTTTGGGAAAAATAAGCCTAACTTTACTCTACAGCGAGAAAAATGATAATAATAATGGTAATAATCTTATATCCTGAGTGCCCTTGCGCCAAAGAAATTGTTTATTAATCTTTTACGGTTTCCCATTCTATGATATTGTGCATAAATGACTGAGTAGAGAGCGATGGCAAGCAAGACCTCCCAGTTCCTGTGCCCCCTTTTTTATTTCTTGCATTCCGGGAGCTATCCAATCCTGTCGCACTCTACGAGCTTGAGGACGATAGGAACCTCCCTTCCCTGGGTATGATCGAGTCATCCGATACCTACCTCCAAAATAATGGCAACTATGATACCCCCCCAAATATCACTTCATGAACTCTTGTGACACTCAATACACCCTGGCGTTCTTCCCCTTACATATTTGGTTTTTTTTGGCGGAATTTTGAAGAGCAGATGTTCCGCGAACAGAGTGGAATATTCTCCAACCCCCAGACAAGAGCTCGTTGATACAGGGCGTGCCGGACCCCATCTCGGGGGTTAGAGAGTGAAATTGGCCGTAGCGCTACCGATACCACGGCCTCCACCCCCTCATTTCCCTAATCCAAGCTGAACCAAACTCCCTGTTTGGTGGTGAGGTGCCCGTCCAATTAAATGCTCACTCTCCTATGAGGAGTCTATTACTCTTTCCTCCGTTGCCAAGCTCGCGTTCACTACGATAGCTCGAGTATGGGAGCAGAAGAGATCGGACGGCGAGGAAATAGATCCCATAAACAGATTTCCCTTCTTCACCGTCCCGAGTGCCTCGTGCTTTCTCCCTCGAAATTAATTCTTTCCCCCCCAAAAAAAAATGTCTACACAGTGTGCAAACATCCTAAGAATTGCTGGAAATCGTCGATGCTGCTTGGTATGCTCGGAACCCGTTCTATGGTTCCGCCCACGATAAACATGTACTATGAGGATATCTTTGTCGCAGTTTATTTATACTCCGGTCTTTACCGTTGGTTAGGATAGTTGAGTTGTCAAGCGATAGGGTGAGCGATAGTGTTGCAAGAGGTGAACGAGAGAGAACCCCGCCACCCCTCCGGGATCTGAATTTTCTCTAGCACTACTAAGCGTCGGTTCGTTCCGCTTCCTTAGCATCGCCATTCCGCCGTTCGTTGCTTTCCCACCCACCACCTAGTGTTGCCCTTAACTTGTCCTGTAGGCGAGTGCGGAGTGCAGTACCGGTAAGTTACTCGAGTATCATATGATACCAAATGAAATTTGAAGTTGGCCGCTTAAGAGGCCCGGCGGTTGGGAGGCTGTGTGAGTTGCAAATCAATTACCGGTAGGGCTAACCTATCCATTGGTTGTTCTGTTATTACTGGCACCCGGGTACGCATAACTATCCTACTTTGGCGGGAAGCTCGATCGGGGAATTTCAACTGCCGGGTCTGTAGGCTAGGGGGAGGCTGTTATCTATTTTCGAACCGAACCCTCATTCTTATTTACTCTCACAATGGAAGTATTAACAACCAACCCCCCTTGCTGACAAATGGTCATGGTTCCGTGAGATGGCCGGACGCGAAGTGCAAGAGGGGTGGTTCTGTGCAGCATTTGGGTATTAGGAGACGTGCCGATCGGTCTGCAACCCAAGACAATCAATTTCTTTGTTTCCGAACCCTGTTTTCCAATCTCTCCTCTGAAGGCTATGCTGTACCATGAAAATGTTGCGATCGCATTGTGTTGATGGTCGCCAGTGAACCAGAATGCCCAGTCGGGTGGCAGTACTGAACTGTGCTGGTTGAACGCGAAGCTGGAAGTGTAGAATCGCTACTGGTGCGGGTCTTTATTTCAAGTGGGCGGAGTGGGATGGTAGGATATGGGCGTTGGTTGGTGATAATACTTGCCCCTCGCAACAAGTGCCCGGAAACAGACTCCATTACTATTATAATCCTTCCGAGAGGTTTTCTTACTTGTTACACGAACCGTGATCCCGGTTTTCTACCAATCACATACTGCCACGTCCCTTTTCACCAGGCCTCATTGTCTCCACAATATTATCCCCCTTCCCCTCCAGAGGCTCAGGTATTGATGAGGAGGATGGAGGAAATGGAGGAGAAATGGAAAAAGAAGGGAAAAAACAAAGTACCCGGAAACAAGTGTCGTGAATTTGTATGGGCACTCAGATGTGCGGGTTTTTTTTCCTAGATATTTTGCGAATCCCTGTTTCTGGGTCCTTATTGCCTAGGACAAGTAGGAGATGAATGTGAAATGGTAGCCATGGGACGGCGCTGGTAAATATATATTCTCCATCCTATCCGTCTCCTTCCTCCCTCCCCCCCTCCCCTCCCCCCCCCCCATATCGTGACCTTATCCCCATTATTCTTCCCCGGAAGATCATCTAGTTGCTTGTACCCCCCCCCTAGCTGACCACAGCCACGGATCTTGGCCCTACGTCGGAGAAGAAAATACAAAAGAGGTATCACACACCCAAGATTCCTCTTCCTCCTTTAGCAATTCACACTAAGCACACTACATAGTACTTTGCGGCCACCGGTAAAGAAATGGGAAACCACTGCTCCTGCAGCGAGTCAATACGCGAGATGCGAACCGAAATCGGGGAACTACGAAAGGATATTGCGAAGCTGACAAGGGATAGGGCGGTGCCGAAGGCACAGGTCGGGGGTGGAAGAACTACTGCTCGTAGTGGTGGTGGTGGTGGCGGTAGTGGTGGGGTATACGGTCAAGCAACAGTAGCAACAAGGAGGCGTTGGCCGGTTGGACGCTACGGAAGTTCTGAGGAGTCCAAGGCAGCGGAAGAATTTGTGGCTAGGGCAAGGAGGTCAAGGAACTACGGAAGGGATAGGAGTTGAAGTGGTTGGGCAGGTGAAGATACTTTAGTATAGCCTAAATAAGCTAGGAACTTAGGGCGAGTTTAGCTCACCGTAAGCCACGCACGCTCTTAATTGCTGGAATTTTATTCTCGTATCATACCAATGACCAGTCATAACCCTTCCAGCGAAGTAGATTATTCCCCGAACTCTGCTACTACTTCTGTTAAGACCTAGGAAGGTGGAGGACACGCACTTGTTAATTGTTGTTAATTGCGCTGGGTCTAAACTAGTGGGCATTCCCTAAGTGTCATTTCAGCACTTTGGACGGGGGCAATTGTTTCGATGCTTTTGCCTAGCCCTTTCCGGCTGCCGCCCAAGACTTCATTTCGAGCCCGGTCGGGGGGCTCTGTGGTAAAAACTCTACCTCTCGTTGGAGTGGTATGTCTGGTTGATACCAAAACATGATAATCAAGTTGTGATAGTAGGGTCAGAAATGCATTGGAGCCATGAGGAGTTCTGGCCCGGCCATCCCCGAAGGGTATGGTATCGTTGGTGGGGATGGGCTCGCAATAACTCAAAGCCCCAAATACCACCCGCAAACCTGTCGACAAGGCCAGCTTTGACTTATGGCGGGAACCCATGGATGTCCCTAACCCAATGACGAGTCGTGCCGAGCAAGTCCGCTCGATAGAGACAGCTATAGAGCGAGGAGAAGAGTACTTCGAACAAACATGGTACGCTCATTCTAATATTAAAAGCACGATTCTTGGCATCTCGTGGTGGATGATAGGACACACTACCACCCCACTCCTGGCGTGAACCATCAAGCCGAAGCCATTGTGGTTTCTTGCGAATTCTAACATTAAACTACAAATCTGAGTATTTTGCCACGGATGACCAGACACACTGTCACCTTACCCCGGGCACAAACCGTCAACTTGTAATTAATTATAGTTTCTTCACGCAACTACCATTTTGGTGTTGACGGGATTGAAGCCAGGTTGGTAGACTACAAATCAGGGCAAAACTTTCAAACAGTCGTCAGGTTCCGAAAACCCCATGTCGACCAGACGCGTCCTTTGAGAATACTCCGCCAATGGCACCAATTTTTTTTTCTAATTCGGAAAATCCAATTCTGAGTTGAAACATCAAGTTTCATGGCGTGCACTCTCATAGTTTGTGTACAGTACTGGCTACTCTAAATTTTCAAATTTTCGAAAACGAATAAAGAAAGAATGTTATCTGACCCTACCGAGTACTCTCCTCATTTCTTAAAAGCTCCGCTCGTCTCTCTAAGGTCATTACATTGTTAATTTAGGAGAACGGATTGCGGGGCTCATTTCCAGTATTATTGGAGGGATGTGTGAAATGGGAATGATTGGGACGGTGGTTTCACGGCGTGAGGCGGATCGGAGAGAGAAGAGTTGGATATAAGTATGATCTACAAAGGGTAGAGTCAAACCAGGTGAGACAGCGCTAGCGCCCTCTTGTGCATAATCGCCCACGTATGATACCCTCAGCAAGTATCTCACCGTGCAAGACGAGTGACTGACTCCAAATGAAGCCCAATTATACACCGCTGCATTTCGCTAACTATTTCTACCAGAGGGATAACTCCAAATGCAACAAAATAGAAAAAAAAAAGAAGAGCCAGATAAAATATGGCTGGTGGATCTTCGACGACCAGGGGGTGTTCCAGTCGGGCCGTAAGGTCCGAGGGGAAACAAGTCCAATATAATACAAGTGCACACCTAATGGCTGCGCAAGAAACCACGTAGGTCAAAGGACAAACAATATCGTGAGCACAAAATGCAAGCTCATGTGCTAGTCGTCCGAATTGGGTGGAGAAGATATAACGCAGAACCCTTTTCCGCCGTTCCTTTAGCCCTCAATGGTCAACCTCCATCCGTCCAGCGCAACTGAGCCTCAAACTTATTTCCCATTGTCGGGCCCGTTTTCTTCCTTGGTGGCGGCCGTATTGGGGTGCCCACCACGAGAACAGACTTTGTTCTGCCGTCCTATCCCGATATCTCGGCAACACGTCGTCCGGCTATTGGGGACACTGTCTAAATCTCCCGCCACAACCCCGAAGGGCAGTCAGCCCGTGGGTAGCGGTGGGTATATATATATATATTGGCGGCACACAGCGCCCACATCGCCTCCCAAGCATGCATGCAAATGTCTCAAAAATTTGCATTACCGTGCTCACCGCCAGGGTGGATGGAGAGGTGTAGTACCTACCTCGTCTCTCCAGGGCACTATCTAACCACTCCCATCAAAAAACGCGGCCTGGCCGCTTAACTCCCATATGTCAATCTTCAATCACCAAAGGTTTAGCAATCTGCAACAATATATCCCGTTGAACCCGCGCGCGGTCTCGGGAGTAAATGTACAAACTTCGACCCAAGTAAGCCAAATAAAAGCGGGATCCAGATTCTTCGGCTATTTACCACACATTAAAACTAGCAGCAATCCTCCTAAATACTGGTCCCCCGGCAACGGATATTGATTGAGTGGGGAACTCTAGAAGTTCAGGTATCAAATTGGATGATGACAAATGAGAATAGAGGGAGATTGCCCACGAGCAAGAGAGAGAGTTCTGGGAACACGGCCGCAAAATATCTTGAAAGGGTGAGCAACTCCGGAGCCATATGACGGTGGGTGATACCAGCGATATTGTGAGCAATGGCAGCAGTTTTTCGGTGCCGATGAGGGTAGGGAAAGGGTTCGGTTAATCTGGGGGTGAGGGGGTTGAAGAACGCAGCAAGCAAGTATCTCGCCTAGATTATGGGCCCGCGAGTACCCAATGTGACTGGGCAATTGGAAAAACTTGCAGCTTTATTTCCCAGTATGACATCAATTTTCCACGATACACTATCCTACCATAGATTCGATTGATGCCACCATCCTTCGTCACCTCTGCCATGGTCTTTCTGGCTATTACTCAACGAGAGGATTAGTCACTTGAAGATTCCATGATATCTTCTCTCTTCTCCCTCCTCCATCCTTGGCCACTCTCCCATCTCAACCCCACAAATCTCGCTACAGAGTGCGGCAGCACAGGAACACCAGTGTTTTTACAAACCCCAATACTGCGTTTAGTATGGCTCTTGCCCGAGGAGTAATATTGGGTTGCGAGGGGTAAGAATTGCTGGAGGGGGAATCCAATTAATTTCAGAGCACGCGATGCGAGGCGGACTCTATATTTGAGCCCTCTTAGCACGCGCCACCAACAAACTCTGGTGTCTTACTGCGCCCTGCGTAGTTCCAATGGCGCCACAGCTGACAACTCCGACTCGATAATTGTAAGTAATAATCAACCCCCCCCCCAACAATAAAAAAAACCTAAATTCAAAAAACACAGATTCCAATAGCTAACTAGTGCATAACACACGCACGCACTTAAGGAAGTAATTGGGAATAAACAAAAGCGAAATGACATAGAAAATAAAAATATACAGTATTGAAATATAAAGTTGACCTAAAAAACCAGGAAAAGCGTCTGCCAAAAGTCATAACGTTAGAAGAAATTGTAGCGAGTAAATTTGGGCCTCTGAAGAGTGAAAACTCTTAGCTCAGTAGTGCATTACAGGAAAGCCCAAAATACACTAAAGGACTGCACTACGCACTAGTGTGCAGCCACGGCTTCGCAAATGGTTTAGAAATGTAAAGAGTGATACCCCACGATTCCAATCTAAAACTATCAATTGGGCACATTATCCTCCATAGCCATACTCAATTCCAGCAGACTTCTCTCTCTTTCTATTTCTAGAAAATTTTCTTTAATCCCCTAAATATCACCCCGCCCTTTCAGCCCCCAATCACCCATTCCTAGCTTCCTTACTCCTTGACATTTAATTCTTCCTTGTCAGACTACCGTCGGGTGATAGCACTCTTCCAAGATTCCGGAAGCCCTAAACGACAACTTGCCTTCTAGCGGTGCAACTACCATTTATTTTGGCATTAACAGTATGGTAGTGGGTCCAATCATCATATTCCCACTCTTCACTTACCCATCCTCACCACTCGTACCCTCTGCCTTAGCTATTGACTATATATGGGCATCCTACGCCCATGCCCCTACCGGCCATAGCAGTAGCTTTTAGCCATCCACACAGACAAACTGCCGTATTTGCAAGTGAGCAACTTTGTGACAACACCGGTCCCAAAGAAAAAGGCTCCAGAAATCCACTGCAAAGCCCAATTGAAGCCATCGACAAAGGGACCAAGTAGCCAGCGATGACGTGCAAGATCTGCGCCTAGTTCCTATGCCCCCCTTTTTTTATTCCAATTTTGGCCTGCGTTCCGTGAGCTTTCTAAACTAACTGTGGGGGCAAGAGGAGAGTCCCCTTCCCGCCTCCGTAGGTATGATATAACCAAGTCCCACGATACCCACCTCCGAAATAACGGCAACAATGATATGATACTTCTACAAACACCACACCATGCTCTCACGTGACAGGGTGACACCTAGTACACCCCGGGGGTTCTTACCTTTCCAGGTTTAGGGTTTTGCACGAAATATTCAAGAGCAGTTATTCCGCGAACAAAGTGGGGTATGCTCCCCCTGACGTAATATGCCGGATCCCATCCCGCCGGTTTGGGCGTGTAATTGGCCGTATCCCTACCCACACATTTGCCCCCCTGTTTCCCCGATCTCAAGCTCAAACTCACTGTTTGGTTTAGTGGCGCTTGTCCAGTTAAACGTTTACGCTCCCATGAAGGGGTCTATGACCCTTTCCTTTGTTGCTAGGCTCGCCCTCACCATGGCTCGAGTATGGAGCAACAAAGACAGGACAGCAGACAGCAAGGAAAAACCCGTCAAAAACGGGGGGTTTTTTTTTTCTTGTCTTTTTTCTTCGCGCCCTCAGCGCCTGGGACTCCCCCCCCAAAAATTATTCACTTTTCTTTCATATATATATATATATGCAGTGCGCAAACACCAAGAATAATATGAAGTATTGTCTAGAAATTTTCCTAGCACCCAATACCTGCATTTCGCAAAATTCAATGGTTGTTGTTCTGCGGGTTTGTGGCTGGGGTAGCTTGCATTGTACAGTACCCCAGCTACCGTACTGGCTTTCCCAGACAAAAACACTCGTCTTGGCAGGTGCGGTGCTTTACGATACTTGTATGATATCATACCTAGAAATTATATGCGGA